GTACCTACTGCTGCTTCCATTGTCCTGGTCTGTACAGAATATTGATTGGGGGTGGGGAGTGGGAGTGGGACGGGGTGGGCTGAGAAGGTCACTGCTTTCTCCCAGCATGCCTGTAAAAATGTCTTTAAAGATTTAAAGAGAGGATGTCATGAGGGCTCCATAAGAGGAAGATTAGATGAGGCTGGGGAGATGCTCAGTGGTTAAAGCACTAACTGCTCTTGCAGAAGAACTGGGTTGAGTTCTCAGTATTCATATGGTGGCTCACAACCATCTGTAACTCCAGTTCTAGGCGACACAATGCCCTCTTGTGGCCCCTACTGGTACCATGCAGGAACATGGGGCACAGATACACACTCTGGCAAAACACCCATACACATATAGGATAAATACATAAACCCCATAAGATTTTGTAAAAATAAATACATTAAAAAATAAACAACTGGTCCTATTTGTACCATACTTACGAAAATGTTTCTCTTAACAGTGGGCCAAATACAAAGGATTTTTCCAAAAAGCTTTCCAAAAATTTTAAATTTTTGGTAAATATATATGTGTGTAGGTTCATATAACATATAACTTACATCAATACAGTCATGCATTACTTAGCAATGCATTGCATTCTGAGAAATGCATCAAACGTTTTGTCATGTAGTTAGAGAGTATTTATACACCTAAGACAGCTGCAACATCACCAGGCAATGTTGTCTTATGGACCACATTGTATATGATATCTGTCATTGGCTAAAACATTGCTTAAGCAGTACATGATTGTATTTTTCTATTATTCTAGGCCCTTTAGAATTGTCTATATAGTAGACATAGACTCAGTCATAGTTCTTTTTGCAGTGCTTATAAAACTTATAAAAGTTTTGCTGGGAAACGGAATTATAGAAAAAGTGGAAGGGTAGAGAACAGAAATCCTGTGGATGATTCACTTAGGGACTTCGGGAACTCATGGTTCTAAGTGCCCAGCTAACTACAAAGCCAGATCTGCCTTAGTAAAATTCATATGCTCAGGTTCAGTGGAGATAGAATGGTGAGTCCTGGCTTCGGAGTCCAAGTATTCTTAACCGTTGTGTCCGGGACTTTTCACATATAAAGGCCAAGGACATTCCAAGGGAAGTAATACACCACTTTTACCAAGGTAGAGAGTCCACAGAATGGCCACAGCAGGAAACAAGCAGAGGAAACGTGGGGACAAAGTATGCAAATAAAGAGCCCTTATTGCCATGGAAGAGCATGGGATTTAGCTTTGTTTGTTTGTTTGTTTATTTCACAGAAGAAAACCAGTTAAGTTTTCTATGGAAGAGAATAACCTATATAGACCCAAGGCCAGGAAAGCGCTCAGGGGTAAGTGGATGGCATCAGAACTGAAGTACAAACAGGAAGGGAAGCCAGGAGGGTACAGTGATGAGGCTCAGCTTATACTGGACAGGAGGTCATAGAAACTGAGATGATACACTTGCACCGAAGGCAACATGGGCCACATGCTACCTGAGATAGAGAACAAAGGCAAAGCAAGACGTCTGAGGCTTTGAGACGTCTCCAGTGGAGGACATTTGCAATGGTGGGCCTGTAAGTCTAAGACGCCAACAAACCAGAAGTCTCGAGCCTCGGGGAAGGAGCTGGGAACAGATTTAAAAGTTATGACAGGCCAAGGAAATGACTCGGTGGCTAAGAGTACTTGTCATGCAAGCCCAGTGACCCAGGTTTGATCCTCAAAACCCACATTAAAAACATAGATGAGGTGGTGGTATGTGTCTGTAATTCCAGCGTTCCTATAGTAAGGTGTGAACACGAGAATCTGATGCATACTCCTGAGCCAGCTCGCTTGGAACATGCAGCATAGCAAAACCTAGAGAGCCTGCTTCATTAAGGCGGAAGGTGAGAACCAACTCACAGGAGTTGTTCTTGGCCCCCACACTCGCACTTTGGCACATGCATGTCTGCGTGCACACAAAAAAGCACTGATTTTTAAAAAGTAGTTTCCGCCTCTCATTCCCCCTTCATTTCTGGAAATATGGCTGACTCAGTAACTTAAAACCCCTCTCTAATAAAATAAACCCCAGCTCTGATGCACAAAAGAGCGCAAGCATTCTTTGACAGGCCTCGATAAGGCCTCAGGAAAGGACTAGAAACCCCAGGGAGCAAAACAAGAGGAAGGAGGATGTAAGGGGTGAGCAGGGATTTTCTGGCCAGTTTCTAAAGTGGCATGGCTTACCCTTTCATGGTCACGTGGAGACGAGATTGAGATCATGTCTGGTAAGAGTTTGGTCTTTGTGATGGTTTACATTGTTAATTTGACAGGATCTAGAGTTGCCTCGGAGACTGATCTCTGGACATGTTTGTGAGGAATTTTCAAGGTTAGGTTAACTGAGGTGGGTGGGTTAGAGGTGGAGTGGATGTGTGGAGTAAAGGTAGGGTGAGTGGGGGCTGGAGAGATGGCTCAGTCGTTAAGAGCACTGGCTGCTCATCCAGAGGATCCAAGTTCAAGTCCCAGCACCCATGGCAGCTAATAACTGGAACTCCAGGTTCTGACATCCTGTGGTAGTTTGAATGTAATTGGCCCCATAATCTCACAGGGAGTGGCACTATTAGGAGGTGAGGCTTTGTTAGAGTGAGTGTGGCCTTGTTGGAGGACATGTGTCACTGTGGGGGTGGGCTTTGAGGTTTCCTATGCTCAGGATACTGCCCAGTGTCTCAGTCAACATTCTGTTGCCTGCAAGATGTAGGACTCTCAGCTACCAGCACCACATCTGCTCTCTGTCCTGATGATAATGGACTGAACCTCTGAAACTGTAAGCCAGCCACCCCAATTAAATTTTCTTTATAAGAGTTGCCATGTTCATAGTGTCTGTTCACAGCAATAAAAACCCTAACTAAGACACACCCTCATATAGACATACATACAAGTAAAACACTAATTCATATAAAATAAATATTTAAAAATTTCTTTAAAAAAGGTGGGGTGTGGGCTGGAGAGATGGCTCAGAGGTTAAGAGCACTGACTGCTCTTCCAGAGGTCCTGAGTTCAACTCCCAGCAACCACATGGTGGCTCACAACCATCTGTAATGAGATCTGGTGCCCTCTTCTGGCCTGCAGTCATACATGCTATATACATAATAAATAAATAAATCTAAAAAAAAAAAAAAAGGTGGGGTGTGTGGGTGGCCCCATTCCATGGGCGGGGCAAAGGAGGTTAGCTAAGCATGAACATCAGTTATCCTCCTCCTCTTCTTCTTTACCTTTATAAGGTTTGTTTTTATTAGGTTTTTTCTTTTTTTAAATTTTGTGTGAGAGCAATCTCTGTGAGGGTGTGTGCATATGAGTGCATCCCTGTGAGGGTGTGTGCATGTGAGTGCCTCTCTGTGGGGGGGGGGTGTGCATGTGAGTGCATCCCTGTGAGGGTGTGTGCATGTGAGTGCATCCCTGTGGGGGTATGTGCGTGTGAGTGTATCCCTGTGGGGGGGGGGTGTGCATGTGAATGGAGGTGTCTGAACACAGAGGTGTCAGGTCCTCTGCAGCTGGAGTTGCAGATGGCTGTACACCAGCCAATATGGATGATGGGAATAGAACCTAAGTCCTCTGGAAGAACCATATGTGCTCTCAGTCATCAGTCATCTCAAGCTCACTCTCTACTTCATTCAGACATAACATGACCAGAAAGCTCCTGTTCCAGCTGCCATGTCTGGCCCGCCATGATAGACTTCCCTTAAAATTCCGAGTCCAAACAAACCCTTCCTCCCCTTCTCCTAAGCTGCTGTGGCCTTAGCTATAACTCATAAACCAAACAATCTAAATACTGCCCTGTAAGTAAAAGACTGGAATAGAAAAAAGAAGTCTACTTATAAGCGTGGAAAAATGACAATTATTTTTTTCCTTTATGTTTGGAAACTGAGATATGGTTTGAATGTGTCCCCTAAGACTTCTTGTGTGGCAAACGCAACCCCAGTATCTATAGGGTAATGTATCTGGAGGGAATAATGTATCTTTGGGAGGGAGTTAGAGTCAGACACAGCCAGGAGGTTAAACCAGCCAACAGGGCATTAGGGCTTTTCATATGAGGAAGGGAGACAGAAGCTGGCTGGCTTACTGTTTCTCCATGGGATGTACCCACCATGACACAATACAATAAGGCCCTGCCTCAATATCAGAGATATTGGTACCATGTTCTTGGACTTCCCAGATTCCAGGGACAGGAGTCAGATGAATTCCTATTTTTTTTTTTTAGGTTTTTCAAGACAGGGTTTCTCTGTATAGCTTTGTGCCTTTCCTAGAACTCACTCTGTAGACCAGAATGGCCTCGAACTCACAGAGATCCGCCTGGCTCTGCCTCCCGAGCGCTAGGATTAAAGGCCACCACCGCCCGGCTGAATTCCTATTCTTTATCAGGTATTCAGTCTTAAGGGCTTTGTTATACCAACAGGAAATTGACCAAGATGCACAAATTCCTAAGTCACAAAAAAGAAAATATTTTCTCTGGGAAGTTTTCATTGTAGCCAGTGGAGTGCTGGGGCCAGTTTACTGTAGACCACAAGAACTAAAAATAGAAATTTCTCCCTACCTTCTCTTTATTTCTCCCTACCTTCAATACTGTCATGCTAGGGACCTTGAAATCAACAAGGACGTCTTCTATATTTCCACCATAGAAAGTGATGTTTGCAGCCTATCAGGGCTTCACTTCAAGAGTTCAAGGCCATTGTGTTAGCCTATCTTGATGTGTTTGGAAGGTAGAATTTATACTAGCTTTTAATCCCCACACCCCAGGGGCAGTGGCAGAAGGATCTCTGGTCTACATATTGAGTTCCAGCACAGCCAGGACTACATAGAGAGATCCTGTCTCAAACAAAACAAAACAAACAAACAGCACTTATACTGGTATTTCTACCACTACCATCTTCTAGGAGTAACAAAACTAAGAAACAAAAACAGCCCACACCCTAAACTGGACCTTACAGTTTCCCACAGGCAGTTTTAACATGAGAAGATGGTTCCTTACCAGCAAGAGCTAGCAGACATATACAGATCTGGCTTCAGGTTCCAAGAGCCTCACGACACAGATAATTTGGCTAAAGACAGAAAATAAACAAAATTAATACAAAGTCACAGATATAAAGAAAAAAATAAGACACAAAAAAAGCATAATCCCAGGACTTGGGAGGCAGAGAAGCAAGTGCATCTCTGTGAATTTGAGGCTAGCTTAGTCTATGTAGTGAGTTCTAGGATAGCCAGGGCTACATAAAAAGCCTTTCTTAAAAACAAAACAAAACAAAAAAAGAAAGAAAGAAAAAAAGTAAAAGAATAAAAAAAGTAAAAGACTATAGTCTCTAAAGTCAAAGTAAAAATGTTGTTTCCAAAAGACCAAAATTATTTGGAAAATGAAGATTTCTTAAAAGTTATATATGTTCTAGATATATGGTAGTATAATTACAGAGATCAAAGGACATTCTCTTTTTATTTTTTTATTATTGTATATTGTAGGAGTCCATGAAAGCTTCCTAGTGAGAGCTGAGCTTGCTTTACACAGCAGGGCTGCATTAGGGGATGGCTTGACCACGTGCATCTTCACCAGGTGTTTGGGATGGTCTGCACTTGGCTGTGCTGGGGGAGGAGGTCTTTTGCTCCACCCCTTGGCATTCCTTTAAAAGTCCTTTAGTAGTAGGGCCAGGCGGTGGTGGTGCACACCTTTAATTCCAGCACTCAGGAAGCAGAGCCAGGCGGATCTCTGTGAGTTCGAGGCCAGCCTGGTCGACAGAGCGAGATCCAGGACAGACACCAAAACTACACAGAGAAACCCTGTCTTGGAAGAAAAAAAAAAAAGCTCTTTAATAGAGACAGAAGGGGCTGGTGAGTTTTGACCCAAGCCTTCCTGAGGCTATTTTGTGTTTCTGTCTCTCTACTCTATATTTCTATCGAAATATTTCTCATTTCTCCTTGCTCAAGAGCACCCTGGGGGAAAAAGTGGGGGCAGGCCCCTCACAGTATGAGTGTTTTGCCTGCATGTATGCATGTGCACTATGTACATGCCTGGTGCCTGAGGATTCCAGAAGAGGGCTTCTGATCTCCTGGACCTGGAGTTACAAAGTTGTGAGTGCCATGTGGGTGCTGGGAATTGAACCAGGGTCCTCTGCAAGAGCAACAAGTGCTCCTAACTAATAGGCCCACTTCCCAGCCCCACGAGAAATTCTTAAATAAACAAGTCATACATTTTTTTTAGCTTTGCTCTTCTTTCTAAGAGCAAAGCTAAAAAAGACAAAACTGAACTGGACAAAATCTGCATTCATTCATTTGGATGAACATCAGGTACCACAAACAAAACCAAACCAAACCCAAAAATGCAAAAGAAAACGAGAAAAAGATGAAGCGGGACGCTGCCTGGTGGCTGCCATGAGCCTGCCTGGTCCTCTGCCTCCTGGGCTTCCTGTGTGTTCTTTCTTCAGCTTTGTCTGTAAGCGTTGTTAACCCTGGGGTTTAGTCATGAACTCTTTCTTCTTCTGACTGAGTACTTTACGAGGTGATTTCATAGCTTTTACTACAAACTGTAACCATTGATCCCCCAATGTACATTTCTAGCCCCAAATCTCACCGGAACCCCAAATCCATCACAGACACTATGAACTCCGTAGGAGGCAGCATTCATTATTTCCCCTACCCTGTCCATCTCCTCCCTACTTACCATGGCCATTTCTCTGGTGGGGCATGTATGTCCTCCTTATTCTCAATCCAGAAAAATCCAGTTTACACCCCTTAACTTCACTCACTCTGTGATCCCCTTGACTCTCATTGCTTGCCCTGTGGCATTGGTGATCTCCCCGTGGGCTTTCCAGATCTCCAGACACTCTCTGGGGCCCACCTTTCTCCACAGCTCCGGCTGCGGCAGGGGGAAGAGCTGTGCTCAAGCCTACAGCTGCTTCACGGACAGTCTCTCCTGCAGCAGCCCGGGTTGGAGATGGTTGATTCAGTGGATACATGGATTCATGAATGGATATGTTATTTCCAACCAGCTCCAGGGACTCGAGAGTGTGGCTTTAGCGTTCTATTGGACCGTGCTCACCACAGTCCCGTCTGTGAATGTGGCTCCTGTCTGCGGTCTGGTTCTGAAAGCGGCAGAGCTATTGCCGGGAATGTGACGGCTGTTTTTCCAACTGCAGGGTGTTGCCAATCACTGTCAAATAAAGCAGTCTCAAGAGCGCTGTTCCAAATGACCCGAAGTGCAACTGTCTGGGCTGTGGGCTGGAATATTAAATGACATTGTGTTTCCGAGGCTTGCCGGGCTGCTTGACTCACAGCTGCAGTAGAAACGTTTTAACGAAATTAAAATCTCCGTGGGGGAGGGGAAGGCAGGGACTAAAGGTTGGACTGAGGGCTGAATGAGAACACTGGCAAGGCAGGGCACATTGGTACAGCTTGATTCCTATATTTAATTATCGCGGGGAAGGACTAAGACAGAGAGTCTACTGTATAATTTAAAACAGTCTAAATCATCGCAAATTTGCTACCCATTGAGTTGGGCGGGGGGAGGGGGGGAGAGAGAATTTTCTGGAAAATATATACATTAAATCAAAAGGGGCCATGGGCCAAAGAAATAAAAGCTATCTCTTCAGAGAGCAAATTGAAATAGATCGATTACCCTTTGTCATTTCCTATTTCTAAAGCTAATGAATTACTTTTTTTTTTTTTTTTTTTAAAGCCCAGCTCTGGGCACCGCTGGGTTTAGCCAAAGAAGGGATTCCTGATGTACCAAAGAGTATCCTTTGGGGTCATTTTGACCAGAGGATAGAGGGCTGTAAAAACACTCAAACATAAGATGACATTCTTTGACTTGCTCCATTAAGAAAGGACGAAATGATGTGTCCTGTTGTTCTCAGCGTAGAGGCCCCGAGGGTACAAACATGAATACCACGAGACCTCTGTCTTTGAACGAGGCACAAAGCAGAAGGATACTGCAAAGCTCAAAATGAGGGCATTAAAAAAATGTCAAGAAGCCCAAAGCAAGCCGGAGGAATTAGCGCCAAGTGGTGTGATCAGTAAGGAATCCATAGCCCCAAAAGTTTCCCCGCCCTCGCTCGCTCGCCATACGTCTCCCACCTTCCACCTCCCAGCCTCCCGCTCCTCATCCTGTTCAAAGCATGCCTGCTGCAGGGGGGGGGGGGGGGGGGGAGGCCAGGAGAGGAGAGAGAAACAGCACCACCTGTAAAGACAGGAAGGGAGAAGGACATTGGTGTCCTGGGAGGAGGGGCGGACGGAGTGATTAGGGCGGGAGTGACCTAAACAGGTAGGCAGATTGGTGAGTTTGTACTCTTTTAAGAAACCTCTTGCTGGGCCGTGGTGGTGCACGCCTTAAGTCCCAGCACTCGGGAGGCAGAGCCAGGTGGATCTCTGTGAGTTGGAGGCCAGCCTGGTCTACAGAGCGAGATCCAGGACAAGTACCAAAAGAACACAGAGAAACCTTGTCTTGAAACAAAGAAAGAAAGAAGGAAAGAAAAGAAACCTCTTCTTGGCAGTAATAACACAGCAGCCAGCTTAGATCTATGACTCTGGATTTCTGTTCATCAAGTCATTATGCTGATGTCTTCCCGTGGGCAACAAATATAAGGATGTTCACCCTCAAGAAAGTATGCTGCAAAGCAGAAAGTGTGATTTGAATTCACGCCAAGTTACTGCAAACCATATTCCTCATGACCCTTGTTACTTCAGCCATTACTGACACCTGTGACACACCCCATTAACCCCATTACCTACAGATGGAGCAAGGGGAGTCATGTGTCCTCTACAGATGCCTGGAGATGCAGGGAAGCATCGCTGAAGACCTGGGAGAGCTTAAGACAGAGCTCTGGCCCTCCTCCACACACACACATTCACAGACACACGTATTCACGCACACACTCACAGACACATTCACACACACTCACAGATACACATATTTTCTCTCTCTCACACACAGACACACAATCACACATACATTCTCTCTCACATTCACATACTCACACTCAGACACACCCACCCACAGACACACAATTCTCTCTCACACACTCATGCACACATACACTCACAGACATACATTCTCTCTCACACACATACTCACATACACTCACAGACACACATATTCTCTCTCTTACATGCACACTCACACACACTGACATACACACACACACTCACAGACACACACATTCTCTCTCACACATACTCACATACACACACATTCTCACACACACACACTCACACACACATACACACACTCATAGACACACATTCTTTCTTTTACACACACACACACACACACACACACACACTTCTACCAGAGCATCTGTGCTGCTATCTGATTATTTCGGCCCTTTCACTGCAGTTTCTTGTAGTGATGTGTCCCACTGCTTAAAAATTGCTTAAAGTGGATTCAAAGATGGAAGAGACGGGAGCACAGATAAATCAGGAGAAAATTGTAACAGCCTGGGTGAGAAATAATACAATTAGTTCAGCCATATCTAGTTGAAAGGATGAATTAAGGTTCATAAACCAGTGTGGATCACATTACAGACGGAATATATGTAATAGGAAGTCATGCTGCTAACTTGCTTTGGAATGAATTAGAATAAAAATAAATACATAGCTGGGTATGGTGATTCACGCCTTTAATCCCAGAACTCCGGAGTCAGAAGCAAGAGGATCTCTGTGAGTTCAAGGCCAGCCTGGTCTGCACAGTAATAATAAATTATATAATAATATATAATATACATTATAAAAATATATAATAATAATAATAATAACATATATTAAAAACAGGGGCTGGAGGTGTAGCTCACGGTAAAACATTAGCCTACCATACCCAAGAGTGAGTTTGTGTTATGGTGTTGATGCTCAAACAAAACAATCATAACAGCAACAATCCACAGTACTTCCGAACCTTGACCATCAGAACCAGAAGACATCACCTGAGGGCATTGTTTAACCCTAGAGGAATTCACAAAGCCCGCAGTGGGGCTTTCCAAAAGGCCATTTGTCTGTTTGGTGTGCTGCGGATTCAACCCCCGGCCTCACAGTTTCTAGACAAGTGTTTACAACTGAGCTACCTGCCCAGTCCAGAATCTCTATTTCTAAAAAGTTCTGGAAGATGCTTGACCCTGACACTTTAGGGACCACACTACGAATAGGAAGGGAATCCCACAAGTAATCTAAATATTTTTTTTAGACTCTCCAGTCAGAGAAAGAATGTGGGCTTTGACATGTCTAAGTCCAGGATTCACCACCTACAGGTAACAACTGACTTTCAAAGGGAAGAGCCTTGTTTTGGCTGTTTCATAGAGTGCAGTTCTCAGTCCATTGGCGCTATGGCTTTGGGTTTGTGGTGCGCATTATAGTAGAACATGATGGTGGATCAAAAATGCTCACTTTGTGCCTGAGAAATGATAGAAAAAGTAGGGGGAGACCAGTTTTCATGGTTCCAATGACCTGAATACCTCCTACTGGGCCCCACCTCTGAAAAATTCCTACCACCTCCCAATAAGACCGTGCTGGGGACCAAGACCGTATAGACTTCTGCGGGGGGTGGGGCATGGGGGGCATTGAAGACCCAAACTATAGCAATAACTGGGAGCAAGCATTTGCAGAAGCTGATCTATGGTATTAGCATACTATTTATTACTTATGAATGAATGAATTCAGTGGGTATTAAGTACCCCCACTTGATGAGCACTACAGAAGCAGTAGCAGAATCATCCCAAAGTGCCTGCGTGGGGTGGATTCTAACCGGTGCTGGCGACTGATACCACTAAAGCAGCCTTCTGAGTTGAAGCCCAGCCCTCTGGCTGGGGAGGCTTTCTTTCATGAACAGAAGTAAGCCTAACTCCTCCAGGAGAAGCCTGGAAAGCTTTTACATAAGAGGTGACCTTTGCATTACACCTCTAAAGATGGAACAGATTTAACAAGAGGAATCGGTCCTGGCGATACTGCCAGGATATTCTGAAAACTCCTCTAGCGACAGAACATCTGAATCAAATATAATAAATATCCTTTGAGAATAAGACTGTGAGATGGGCCACTGGCAGGTGCTAGGGTCTCAGAGCCCAAAGTCAGTGATTGAGAGCACTGGCTGCTCCTGGAGGGGACCTGGGCTCCGTTCCCAGCACCTACTGTGGCGGGTTCACAACTCCAGGGGATCTGACATCTGGGACTTCTGACCCGGTGGACACATAGACTCTCTCACACACACATAATTATAAAATAAATAAAAGTTTTTTAAAAGGTTAAAAAAAGAAAACTACCAGTGGAGAACCACAGAGGCTATCTAGTAAGACCTTACTCAGGGTCAGAGACTCTGGGCTTCCTTTACCCAGCAGAGCTGCATAAGAAGATGATTTGACCACGGGCGTGGTTACCAGGTGTTTGGAAGGGTCTACACTTGGCTGTAGAGTGTGCTTTGATCTTGTAAGGGGGAGGTCTTTCGCCTCTCCCCTTGGCGTATTATAAAAGCCCTTTTCAATAAACTTCGAGGCTGTTGGGTATTGACCCAGGCCCTCCCAAAGCTATCCTGTGTCTTTGTCTTTCTCCTCGTTGTCCAAGTCTATCTTTCTATTTAATATTTCCTTATTCCTCTCTCTTCCGCCCAAGAACCCTTCATTAAGGTGGGAGAAGTTCAGAGCTGGACTCCCACAGACTCCCACAACTACCTTAAAATATTAAAGACATGGGACTGGAGAGGTGGCTTTAATGGTTGAGCACTGGCTGCTTTTGTAGAGGACCTGAGTTCAATGCTCAGACACACGTGGCATCTCACGAACATCTACAGCTACAGTTCTAGGGAATCCAGTGCCCTCTTCTGGCCCCTTCAGGCACCGGGCATGCATGTGGTGCACACACATAGATACAGAAGACACTCATGCATATAAAATAAAAATAAATACTTTTTTTAGAGACATAACTAGAGCAACTGTTATAAATTTGCATGAGTGGAGAACCACCAGCTGGCCAGGCCAAAGTGTCCCATGAGTGAAGGAAAACATGCTGGGCAGATGCAGCGGGGTGGGGGTGGGTGGGGATGGTTGGGGAAGTGGGGGGTGGTGAAGGGAGTCATGCGTGGCAAGTCATTTACACCCAGGTACTGCATCCACGTAGAGAGTTTATTATAATAGAGAGATGAAGAGAAAGATAGGAAAGAGGGAGACAAGGAAGAAAGAGAAGGGAGAGAAAGCGGAGGTGTGCACACCTTGTGGGAATGGAGAGAGAGAGAGTGGAAGAGAGAGAGGAAGGGGAGGAGTTTTTCCTTAAAATGA